CCCCCCGGAACAGTGCTCAGTGGAGGGTGACTGCCAGCCCCGGCGGACCCTGAATTAAACTCTTTGTGGAGGAGGACAGAGAACAGGGTGAGCGGGGTTACATAATAAACTGTTTCATAAGTACGGTCACCTGACTGCCTGAGGCAGGCTAGTCTTTTTAAAATAAAAAAAAAGCTCCCACCATCTGCTCCCAAGCTTTCATGTCAGGTAAATTCAAATAAATACATAAAATCATTACTCTGAATTTTAAACTCCGACTTTTCTCCTGTTTGATGTTTGATCCTATCTATCGGGGAGCTACAAAAACAAGGTTTTTGTTGAATAAATCGGAAGAATATTTGCTCAGATTCCCACCAAGGTCTCTGACTTTGGCTCAGCAAAAACTGATGGGGAGGGGCCGATGTCATGGGGAAAAGAAAAGAAAAAAAAACACACAAGCTGTACCTATCCCGTGTGCTGAAAGTATTAAAAGAATTCCGAATCTAACCGGCAACTGATCCCATTCTCAGTAGAGAAGTTCTAATAAATGATGTCTAAATGTGTTCCAATAGTTCCATGTGAACCTGAACACACACACCGAGTAGGAGTTTATTCTTTTGCTCCCTGTGCTCTGCACCTGTGGAGGTGGGCGGAAAAGGCTTGAAATCGTTACTTTTTAAAAAAAATAACATTATCGTTTCAATCCTTTCTAACTTGATGTGAACCAGTAGTCTGGTTCGGTCCATCCAGTCCGGATGGGCAGCCAAGTCCTCTGAAATACCTTGACACGTAATCTTCCACAGAGCTTCCCCTGACCTCGCCGACCTCGAGCGGCGCTTGCGCAATTACGCCGGACAAAAGGTCCTTTTTGCTGAGACTATCTGAGAAGCCATCTGTATTGCGGGGAATCTGTAAAAACGTTAGGTCAGCTGCTAAGTATTTTCACGGCCTCTGGCAGAGTTTGAGGGCTTTTACCGCCGTGGTGCATCCGAGTTTACACAGCTAGACGTTTTCCCACTTCCCTTGCATCAGATGGACACAATACAGTTTCTTTTTTGTGTGTGGGGGGGTACGTTTAAATTCTGATACCACCTCATAGTCGTGATGAGGCGCTGTACAACACACTGAGCTAAAACTGTGGTCTGGCTTACTCCTCAGGTTTGATTCCCAGCCGCTCCCCTCGGTCCATGTTGAGCGTCCCCGCTCCCTGTCCGTAGCCGTAGCCCTTAGGGCCGTATTTCTTCCCGTAGCAGGACTTGCAGTAGATCTCCTGGTCGTGAATTGCCAGCGTGGTGCTGTCTAAGCCCTTCCTGCACACCACTGCGGACATACACACACACACACACAAATGGAGAGACCAGCAGGATTCTGAACAATCTGGAATACTTCAGGAGAGGGAGAGGCAGGTGAGTGGATGAAAGAACACAAGTGTCTGAGTTCAGTTCAAATATCAATATGAGCAGTCGGGACCGGCCAAAGGATTGTATGAATTCAACTGCTAGTTTTGATGCGGAGTTTAGCAAAGTGTTCTTAGAGGTGTTTTCTGGGCTGTAAGCGTTGATGTTCGCTTTCTCTGTTTGAACAGGTCAGCTGTGAGAAGCAAGTGTCTTCAGAATGAATCAATAAACTGAAAAAATTAAGTAATAAAAACTGTTATCTTAATTACAACAGATACAGTTTTTTATATGTTGTACATGTATGATATGTAGATATATAAACACACATATTTATATAAACCTATATATATACACACAGACACAAGGTACCCGATTGAAGATCAATGTTTGATGCCCATGATATTAAGGAAAAAACTGCTTTTAGGCAAAGATGAGATTGTCATTGAAGGATTCATAAATCAGTGTTTGTGACCACAGCTCACTCTATCTTGCTCAAACCAAGGTAAAGTTTTACCCTGCAAAGAAGAAGAAGCCTTATGTAAACACAATTGTTAAACACTAAGGCAAAGAACAAAGCTACTACTGGGGCGTGGAACAAATGAATAGCGAAAGTTTGCTTTGGTATTATGGATGCCATGTCCACCTGAGGTCAGGGGAGGGGGGAAGGGGCTGTGAGGCTTGTTATGACCACACAGTTAAAAAAAGGCATTTCTGATGGAACAGATGACTAGCGACTCCTGACAGGTACCATTCATGCAGGGAAGCCTTTGCATATTTCAGCAAAATAGTGCCAAACCACACAGTGCATCTCAACAACAACTGACCTTTCAGAGACTGAAAACCCTTTGTGTATAGTTAAATAACATTTAAAAAATTATTCTAAAAAAAGATCAAATGCTTTTAAACCAAATCCTACGAAATATATCATTTGGAAAACTTTCCTTCCTTCAAGCAAAAAAAATAAAAAATCTTGCAAGTTGTATCCAGACATTTACAATATGTTGTCATCAGTCATCAGTCCGGCTCTTTCCTGACTATTTTTCATATCTTTTGATGCCATGAAGTTTAAGATTGATCGTATCCTCTCTTGAAAACCATTTTTAATGTCCAAGTTTGAAAGGAACTAAATGGCCGATACATTCTATTCATCCAGAAAGTTTTTTATAAGGTAATATAAAAATGGCAAGGTATCAGTGTTTTTATTGACCCACTGAAGTAATTCATTTTTTAATTAATTATTTTTTGGGGGGGGTTAGTCGTGTCTACTTTAAAACCTGAAACAAAGCCACTGCATCTGGCAGCAGGCTTCACACTGCTCGCTGCATTGGGGTAAGCACACAATGACCTTCATTGTGGGACTGTCCGATACTGGCTTAAGATTTCACACGAATGGAGGGAAAAATGTTTCCATTCCTGTGAGCGACGATTTCACAGAGAGTCCCATTTTTTCTGAGTGTTTCATCCTCAGCTATCCACAAATAGACACAAAGCGCGTTGTGTCACATGAGACCCTGTTTTCAGCAGTAAAATTCTGTAAAAAAAGAAGCCTTTCATACACAAAATGTCATAAAAGATTTTAAAAAAGTGTAAACTGTCTAAACCGGGAAAGAAGCGGAAAGTTCAAAAAGGAGTCAAAGACATGATGTCCCCTCGTTCATCATGTTTTGGTTTAACGTCGGACAGATCTGACTTTGTGGTGAAACGACAACAATAACTGAATAATTCCAATTGGCATGTTGCTGGCAGACTAATCGAATTTCCTTCGTTATGTTCCATTTTTCAAACGTGGTTCACGTTGGGGACGAGCCGGCCGTGAACTCGATAACCTCACGATCCGGAGAGAAATGTACAAACTGGACTAGATCAACTGAGGAGGTGAAACTGAGTTCAAGACCTGTTATCTGAACTCCTCTGGATTTCTATCCCTGATGCTTCATTGCAAACACTCCAACAGATGTCCTCCCATAAGCCAGATAAACAAATATGGGCAGGTTTATATCATATTGATCCCAGCTTGTGTGAGATTTCCAGGACTTGGGGAATACTCTTGGAATCCTCTAGCTAAAAAGCCTCATCTGAGGGAGCTGATTACTCAATAGAGGGAATTTACTGTACTGATAAAGTAAGTTATTTGTTGCAAAAAAATATGTATGATAGTTTTTTCCTAATTCCTAAAGCCCACGTCTTAGTATTTTTAAGAGGGTCTCCCGATCGGTCCTCAGTGTTAGTGCAAAACCGTAACAACAGGCATAGATTCATAATGAGGACAAAAGCAACGAATTAGAGTCACACTTTGAAAGCATTTTGGAGCTGTCTTTTCCTTAAAATCTCTAGCTAAGGCACGAGTGGATGGTTGAACCATTAACTGCCTTGTTAAAAATAAATTCTAATTACCGGTATGTCGTAAACACAGTTTGCAATGAGCGGAAAGGTCACAAATCCCCGTTAAGCATTTCACAGCTGTACTTACTGCAGAGAAAGCAGCATTTGTGGAAACTCTTCCCATCACACTGAACCTCCTCGGCATGGTAAACTGTCCCACGGCATGCTCCGCACTTGTTGCCTCCGCCCCAGTTTGGCATTGTGTGTGTTTCTGGGAAGAAATGACGATAAGACGTGAGGGTCTGTTTCTCTTGCTCACGTTACTGGATACTCAGACGTCCCAGTCCTCTGTGATCAGGACAAAGAGCTGTGAAAAAACACAAAAAAACTAACAAAAAAAAACACTCCTCCGGGTCACAATAGGCACATAAACACAACTACACAAACAAGGTCAGGCCAAACAACAGGGTAGACTAACAGACTAATACCCTGAGGAATTTTTTCTGGGCAGTCATGCCTTGGGGGCTTTTGTTGTTTGATGAGCTGTAGCGGCAAGACCAAGAGAACAAAAAAAAAAATCCAAGCTCATATTGTTTTCAAAGCTCACTCTGTACTTTTGCCCAAAATTACAGACTCGCTCCCAATAAAACGCATGTTGAAACCCGTGAGGAATGACAACAGGCGAGACTTTATGTGTATTCTGGCAAGCAAAGCTTTTGGTGACATTCCACTTTTGGAAGCTAAAGTATATTTGCTGTCACAGTAATTAATTGTAAAGTAAGTAAAGAGAGCCGACAATTGTTAATCACTCAGTATGTCCTCCTCTCAGTTGGATTAGAGACTACAGAACAAGCCCCAGCTTGAGGGGGCATCAAAACAGCCCCTGTGCCTTTAAATTTTCATCATGTGATGAAATAGTTTGGGTAAGGTGTAGTTTGGGGAAAGGTGGAGTCTTTACAAATAAATAAATGAAACATTTGTGTGTTGTAAAGAAGATGCATAAAATATGTACCTTTAATGTTTGTAACTTCTATTAAATGAAAATCTATTCAGAATGAATTCGGTATTGGACTCTGAACCAATGCTGACAACTCCATTATTGTTGAATTCCTCCAGTAAAACTAAAAAATAGTTGGTTCTTCATTTTCTTTTAAAAAGTCTCACTTTTTGTCTTTTGTAATTGGCTACTGAACCACACTTTTCCCCACATTGTTTCAGACCTGTTTCAGTCCTGACTTTTCAGGATTGTGAGGTCTTTCCTTAAACTGACTAAAAATTAAGTTAATTGCAATAATCACTTTGCATTTTCACCTGATTTTATTTACTTGGCCAATATGCTTATTTATGGCCAACAACAGTGTTACATAGTTGCCTAAAAAGTTATGTGTATGCCGGCTTTTTTGTTGAGGCACAAGTATGAATGAGAAATGAAGAGTCCTCACTGTCTGAGTTATGTACTAACACTTGCTTACTCACTTATCATTTCAGCATGATATATTATTTGGCTCTTTAGTATCTCCTTTAAAGTTACATATGGTAAAAACACCTACACATATGTATCAAATTAACCGCTGCAACAGTTATTTGGTAAGAAAGTAGGGTTATTCGGTAGCAAGCAAAAAATGCGTTACAAAAAGCGTACTTCACGAGTAAGAATTTACTTTTTTAAAATCATTTTCTTCATCATATTGTATACTAACCTTACTCCGTAGAGGGGGACAAAAAAAAAGTTTACCTTAAGCTTGAACGAAGCGGTCTTTATAATCCAGATGTGAAAATGGCTAAGGTCCAGCTCACAGTGTTCGCAGTTGGTTAGTCACTTTGGATGGAGATTTACTACACTGACGCACACATGCCACATATTCCTCATATCTAGTATTTCACTGGGAGGAGGAGCTTTCAAAGGGCGTGAACTCAACACTGCTGCCTTTCGGTGTTATCGTGAAGGATTTAACCATACCCTCCTCCACCGAAGGCACAAATTGGTCCGTGAACGTCCAACACCTGGGGCTGTGAAAGCACGGCTGAAATAAAGCCGTTTGGAACATTCTAGAAACCGAGCACCTTCAGTGGCTCTAAAATCGACTCGGAAATAATATACCTAGCCACCGGAGAATGCCAGGAGGCTAGGGAATGGCTTTTCCTTGAAGGTTACACACACGACAAAGAGTAATGATTTGCAATTCGAGAAGGATAAGCACAGCTTCTCCATCGGTCTCTTGAAATGAACGGTTATAACGCCCCCAACTGGAGGCAGAGAATAGCACGGAAAGAAGTTATTCAACTATAAAAAGTGTGCAAAACCACGGTTAGAGTCGTGATGCAATCGTCCAGCACTCAGGATTTTTATTGCAACTAATATTTCTTGAACGTGTCAGATCAGTTGCCAGATCTCGCCAGAGAAACAATAAACAAGTCCTTTGTAAACAACCACCCCCAAAACCCTAAATGTGCAAGAACGTTCTCTAAAACTCTCTAAAACATCGTATACATTTGTAAACCGTATAAATTAATACATTTGTTTGGGCTTTATACAATTATGCTTAACAATTTAGATTCTTTATATACTTCCTTGTAAACTTGTAAACAGAATGCCAGTAAACACAACCAATAAAAGCGTTAGACTCTTTTTAGAGCTGGCTTTTATTTGTTCAATTCGGACTTGTACGTTTTCACCGCATTGCTTTACCAGTTTACCAATTTTAGACCCGGGGCAGGACCATACAGTCCATCCAAAGTCACCCAAGCACACTCATATTCTGACTCCCAAATAAACAAATGACCCCCAAACCCAGGACCCTCAGTGAGAGACAGTGCCAATATGTGATTAATACAGAGGGGTAGGTGTCCGTGAATCGCAGCATAGGTCCACTCCACCACAGCCTACATTGACATTTATGCATTTAGCAGACACTTTTATCAAAAGCGACTTACAAAAAGAGGGTTTAACGTTCAACTGTAACATAGATTACACAAGTACCATACATTGAGTGCCATGTGCTGTCAGGAAATAAGTACACTTAGGGCGTTCAGGACAAAAGATACTCTCGGATGACCTAGGCTGTCAAGGATTTTTTGAAGGATAGAGAATCTGATGCTCTGATAGTGTTTGTAAAGTCGTTCCACCAGCATGCTTGACTCGTCTTCAGCATTTCTTCGTTAACTCTTCCCCAGTGGTATGTTTCAATAGTAACAATCTTCTATCTCCTTAATAATAAAACCAAGTAGCCACGTTTGCTTGGATTCCTGTTTTCCTTCCCTGGCCCAGCACTTGTATTTATCCCCTCACCACAAGCAAAGTTCAATAGAATGTAAATAACACAATGGTTGCGTTAGAAAATAATGTACATTTTATTTTAACTTTGTGAAAGCCATAGAAGAAGGAAACCAGCAAGCTCCAAAACTACAGAAATGAGTACATGAGGAAACAAAAATAACAGGGTTTTAAACAGACACCGCTACCTAAACCGAGTGCAATCACAGTTTCCTGTGAAAAAAAAAAAAAAAAAGGGGGGGGAAGCAGCATTTAACCAATTTTTGGAAAGTTTAAAAATGACACTAAAAACCGACAAAAATCCTGACTACAAAACTGTACTTGAATGGCTACCGTTCCCACTCTAAAAGGGGAGTTATGCGTCTCGGCTTTTAAAAAAAAGCAGTCATGTGGAGTATGATTCACGTGGACTGGTGAGACATGACAGTTTCAACTTGAAAAATGCTAGCTAGATGCCTTAAAACCCAGCACTTGACCCCCAACCACTTCCTGTATACCCATATAAGGAGTTATTTAAAAAAACAAAACAAAAAGATTTACATATAAGCTCTATCTATCTTCCCTTAATAATTAAAGGCTTCCTTTTGTTTTCATTTTTTACAGTACTCTTGATATAAATTACATTTAGTACTACTATTCAAGTACCTGAGAGCATCGTCACATTGTGTCTGTTAGTCATCCGTAACAGTGCCAAGATTTGGTGCTCAACCATAAAAACTATGGTTAAAGGTCCTCAGAAATAAAAACAGACGCTGTATTTTTCTTCCTGATGATTCAGTTCAACAGTTCCGATACTTGTAAGGCTGTAAACATTTAAGGCTCTAGTGATTTTTAGTTCCACCTCCACTGAGAGACGTCGAAATCGAGCAAAGGGTGGATGAACCCACAATCGCCGCTCTCAATCGTGTGATCAGCACCTTCCTCTTCCACCTTCATAATGCAACAGTTTCACTGGTCCCCTTAAAGTAAGTTGCTCCAAAACTCCCCATGTACATTTGAGAAGTTATTAGTGCTCAGAAAAAAGGTTGGCGTTCCTTTACAATCCCAGTTACGGATATATATTAGCTTACGTTTAAATAACAATTGGGCACTTATATAAAGGACGAATTAGGTAGCTTAATCATGTTATTTGAGTGGGGAATCAAGGAAGAAATGAAGGAGGGCCCTGTTACATTGGCAATACTGTCTAGTTAAATGAAATGTTCAATAATCTAAAGATGAGATACGTTTAAACTGTTTGTTTGGAAGTAATACAGTGTTGTATTTAAAACAAATAGAATAAAATATAGAAAGTACAGTTTGCTTAAAACTGAAAGTCACAAAGCAAAGATGAAAGACATATAAAGATTTCTTTTGCTTCCCTGAAATGTTTTCCTAAAGTTAATTTCACATCACTGACGACTTTTCTTTTTTTCTCAAAATGTATGTCCTTGCATTTTCTTTAAGACCAATCACCAAAAGCTTATGTTTTACCCTCTTTCTTTTTTTTTTTAACTTAACCATATTGTACCATTTGAAGATGGAACATCGAGCGTAAAAGACACGTTTCAGAAAAGCTCGGCCGGCGGGTGGCCGATGTCCAGTCTCCTCTGAGCTGAACCCCTCTTCCTTGACGTCTGCACAGAACTGGCCGCGTTCCCCAGAGTTCCTGGAGTCTGGAAGAAAGCTTTCGAAGAGGAGGTAGTTTCCTTTGGGGTGTTTGGAGTCTGTAAAGAAAGAGAGTACGCGCGCGTGAGTGAGTTACATTGAAGGTGAGGCCTCAGTTTGACGGCGGCTGGGGCCGGTTCTTACCAGTGGCTCTGGGGTGCTGGTGCTGGTGCTGACCACCCGCTGCGGCCCGGGTGGAGAATGTGGCGTGCTCGCCGCCGACGCGCGAGGCCTGTGCTGTTGCTCCGGCGTGGCCGGCGACGGATGCGCCGAGCTGCCCATCTCAGGGGCAGCGGCGTAGGGCGTGGCCCCGACCATGAAGTGGGTGGGCGGCATCATGGCGGGAACGGTGAACGTCATGTTGGCGGGCCGGTCGGAGCCTTGGTGCTGCACGCCGCTGGCCAACAGCGGGTAGTGGGAGAGGGCGGCCGAGGGCACCAGGACGTATGGCAGAGCCACGGCGGGCGGCTGCCCGGCCGGTATGAAGTTGATGAAGTTAAGGTTGCTTAATCCTGGATAAATTGAAGATCACATGGTGTTCTACGTGAAGCATAGATTGACAGCACATTTAAACTAAAAAGATAAATCATAAATAAAAAGAAAAGATAAATCACTGCAACAAAAGGCAAGTATTGAGATAAAATACATATAAACCGTCTCTCATTTTATGCTCAACTTTGGGCACTCCAAATAAATGTTTGAAATCCCACAAAGACCAATATTCTACCTTCATCCTCACAAAAGGGATCACTTCCTGTTCAAAAGGCCCCAGCAGATACAAATCCTTTAGAACGTGTGCCTGACAGTTTTTATGGCATTTACGCTCTTTCACAGACATTCGACTCCTCGAGTTTCATTCGGTTTAAATTCATATGTGGTGCGTTTAGGGGGCCAGTGCAAAGCGGGGGAATCTGGGTTTTCAATTAGTCTACAAAGGTCCTACCAAATCAGGAAATGTAAAAGTGGAGAAAAAATGGAACGAGATCAGACAGAAATAACTACGGTTGTGAGGGGGGGAAAAAAAAGAATGAGAAATAAAGAGAGACAAAGGCACTGATGAATGAGAGAAAGAATATAAATTCCCTTTTTCTTTTTTTTTTAAAATTATTTCCAAAATATTGCTAAAATAAATAGTGTGGTGAAAATCAGCAAGGGGGAAGTTTAATAGAAATAAATACAGATTTAGAAAAAATCGTAATGGTAAAATTGGTCACTTCCATTCTAAAACATGGCTTAACGTAAATAAATGTACTTATTTAAACAAGGGCACACAATTATAGGTCTTAAGAGTAGAAATACACAACCGAGGTTAATCTTACCATTCAATTTGTGTTTAAGGGTACTGATTTGTTTAGAGACATTTCTCTAGTTCTGCTTTTGCTCTTTTGTCGCCCCTCTTATGTAAATGGATTTCTCACCCTTCCTAATCTGACGGACAACAGCAATTAGTTTTCTAAAGTAATTGCTGGTGTTGCTCCTAAATGATCCCTCGCTGCAATCTCACCAAACCTTCTGCTTTGGTAGAACGGCTCACGCCTTCTGATCCTGAATAGTTTATTAACACACTTTTGCCGTGTTATTTAGTTTCTTCTGCAGTTGAATTTGACCAGTTTTAAGTACAGAAATAAGTGATTGGAAAAAAAAAAAAAAAAAGAAGGGAACTCCTGAGATGCTGGTCTGACAACCTGCTGCCTATGCAGATGTGGAAACTTCCATCCCCCACAGACAGAACAACCAGGGACACTTTACCTGCGTGGTTGGGTATGTAGAGGTAGTGTGATGGTGGGACGTGCTCGCCACCGTTGCCCCTGTGGGTCTCAGCGGACACCCGCTCGTTCGGGAGGGCCGAGGAAGTCCTGGTGCTGGATAAGTGTGGGCAACCCGCCTGAGGATCAGCTTTCACCTGCTCAGGTAAAAAAAGGAGAAAAAAAAGACACTAAGTGACCCAAACAGACTAAGAACCTCCGATTGTTAGGTTCATTTGAATTCATACAAGTAATAACACTGTAATAATAATTCTAATAACAATAAAAGCGGGTTGAACAATACTGCAGCTCCGCTTTACCTGGAAGCTTTCCTCGAGCCCAGAGCCCTGTTTCTTTCTCGATAGCATCTCCTCCTCCTCGCTTGCTTCCCTCCTCCTCTTTCTCTCCACCTCAGGTGACCTCTGACCAACAGGGGCCAGCTCCGGCCCTTCCGGTGCCCTGTACAGCATGACCACGGACGGCTGGGACAGGTTGGGCAGGTAGGCCAGGCAATGGGGAGAGGAGAGGATGAGTGGCTCCATCTGGGATGGCTCGTGGGGTCCACTGCTGAGGAGGGAACAAGGCAGGGATGGAAATGAGCCAAAATGTCTTCAGAAAAAGAAAAGAATTGGCCAAAAGAAAAACTAAAACAAAGAAAAATATACATTCTTTTGTTTTAAATAAATAGAAAAAGGGATGTTGTTGTTGTGATGTTTTTACCCCCAAAACTTCTCTTTTGGGACATATACAGTCTCACAATAATGCCAAAGAAGACACTGGTCTCCACGTCTGAATTTTTCCTCATCAAATCGGAGATAAAATCTCGACAAATTAAAGCCAAAATATTCTGGGATTTGTCACTATATTGTTTCAGAAGACTGATTCTGGTCTAACAATGTGAATTTATCTTGTTGCTTTTTTTCTTTTTTAAAATGACCTGCTCTTGCTCACAGCAAACCTTCCATCAATCCAAACACTGAACGTTAGAGTAAAACACTGGATCATATCAGGTGAAAAGAGGGGTTCAGTCCATTACATCTTACTGCTTAGCATTAGATTGAAGCCGTTTAATAATATCCTGGATTTAAAAATAATTCCAAACAACTCCTGGACACCGTAAAATTTCCAAAAAAGGTTCTTAAAATCAACTCACTCTGAGTTATTTTCAGACTGCAGTCCACAATTTGTTCTGCTCTGTGTTGGCTTACTGGAATAATCCGCAGGCTGGTTTAGGAGACCTAAAACGCAAAGAAGGAAGTTCGACTTTCTGCAAGAAATGTGTTGAATTTTACACGACAAAAAGAAACAAGAAATAGAATCTCTGGAGTACCTGGGTGGCGGCCTGGGCTGCTGGGCGCTGAGCTGACCAGCCGTTGCGTGGCGACGTGAGCAGGCGGGGCGTTAAAGGAGGCGTGGCGGGCCATTTTTGCCCTTTTGGGGTCGTGTCCGATCGCGGGGTCGGCAGGACTCACAGCCGCTACGTGTAAAGCGTTTCCTGAGGGTTAGACGAAAAGCTTAAAACCCTCTGTTTTTTTTAACCAAAACAGTTCAGGTCACTTCTCTTTGCTTTTCCTCACCGGAATTGCTGAACTCCACCGGGCCGAGCCACTTGAAGGCCGGCTTCCTCCCCCTCTCCTCTCTCACGTGGATCTTCTTGATGAGGTTCAAGCTCGTCAGGACGTTGGCGATGTCGTACAGCCGCCGGACCTTAGCTGAAGACGCGCAGATACAAACATTTACACACTTCCGCGCGCTCCAAAAAACAAACAACGGCGTAATTCTTCTTTTCTTTTCTTACTCTTGTACTTGCTGTGGCTCGAGGAGTCCTGGCTCTCCTCGATGAGGATCTTTGCCGCGGCGTCCAACGTCACAATCTGAGTTCTTGACACCAGGAAGAGCATGACAAACTTCTGGCTCATGATGCGCAACGATTTATCCTTCCTGTTTCCAGCAGCTGTAAAATAAAGACAATGTAATCATTATTACATCTCCAAACACAGTCTTTTGGACTCATCTGTCTCCATTTTCCCCATTGGTCTTGTTTTAAAACACTTCAACTGATCTGTGCTTTGATATACCTTAAATATGAGTTATTTCAAAGCCAAATTGTTTTGATTCGTACAACCAACGCAGGCAAAGCTGAGACATGATGCTAATTTTCCTATTTAATCATATTCATAATAATAGCCAAATATGCTAAGAGATAGTGACATTGGGATAAAATGGATTCCAAACAGTGTTCATTTGGAGGTGTTTTACAGCTAAGTTATAGGTTTTCAAAGCTGTGACAAGGTTCCAGAGTGACATAAGACCTCTAGTTCAACAGCGCTCTGAAACTTCAAGTTGATGTGTCACTTGCTGTCCTACTTAAAGTATCTGTTATCATCTGGAGTCCTCCCCCTTTGAAGATGTAGAAACAAAACGCTAAATGAATGTCAAAGTTTGACACGGCCCCTAAACTGATGTGATATTATAGTCTTAATATTCTAAATCTAAATAAAAAAACAACATTTCCAACCTCTACAATTACCCCCTCCCCCATTTATTACCGATGCCAGCATCAGCTTCCCCGCCATCCTCCTCGTGGCTGTGTCCAGCCTTCTGGGTATCAGCGGCCAGATCCACCTGGAGGTGGTAACCTTGCTCTCGGCCCTTGCACTGCAGATCCTCCAGCGTGGCCTGAAGCCGCTGGCGACCGTACCAGGTGTAGCTGTTCTTGGCTATTCTGCCCACAATCATGAGGGACTCCAGCACGTTGACGATGTCGTAGATGCGCCGCCGCTCCACTCCTACCAAAGGTTAAAATGAGTCAGGGTGCTATCACTGAAAGTAACTCTAAGCTTTACATTAAAGAGAATAAACAAGTATTGGCCAGGCTGACATACGGTCAACAGCATATTTTACTGCTCCTTACCCAGACTGGTTGCCACCTCATCCAGTGAGATCCAGATGGGGCTGTGCAGTGGGGGGTAATCGGGGTAAAGGGCCAGGAACTTTTGACAAAGCAAACCCAGGCTTTTCTGCTTTCTGCTTGGCTTTTTCTCAGCATCTTCCTCCTCATCCGCAGCCTCAAACTGGCAGAAAAATAAATGTATGTAAATTAAAACTAAACTTTGATGGAAAAAAAATCCTTAGCCTCTACTTCATTTACCCATGCTCTGTTACCTGGCAAGAGTCCTCCACCTCTGTATCCTCTGGGCTCGATGGCTTGCTTTTCTCATTCTCTATCGGTCTGAACAGCACCTTCTTCATCTCCCTGTTATGGATTTCTGGGCTCGCCGCACTGATCAGCATCTTCAGGTTGGCGGTGGGGGTCCAGGGCTCGGCCACTCCCGCTTGTTTCATGGGGGTGGTATGGGCCAGGTCGGGAGTGGAATCCTTCCTGCTCACCGAAGCAGGGACGGTGGACTCGGCTGTCCTCAGCGGGGTGGACCTCCTCCTCTCTGCATGCATGTTTTCCTGTTGATGGAGAAATAAAAGAGGTAAGCACATTTGGCCTGATCCTTATGTGTTTAGAATATCCTAATCAGGAAGAAACTAATTTTGGATGCTGAATCCTGTCAGCAGCTGGATGTGGGCAATTAAACCAAACTGTCATGTTTAGAAGCCTAACAATTATTGTATTTATTCTATTCCTCTTCAGATGCCACCATGTAACACCCATCCTATAAAACCTGTCAAACCAAAAGTTGTATAAACAGAAAAAAAAGAAAAACAGTCCCCCTTTGCCTACCTTTTGCTCGCTTTGGCACTCATCTTCCTCAGGCTCCACTAAGAAAGTTCTCCTCGAACTTGTGAGGTCTCTCAAGGCCAGGCACTCAACTTCCATCTGGAAAAACTGGTTACAATGTGGGCAAAATACAGAAAAAGAGTCAGTGCTAGATTACCTAAAGTAACCCTTTTTTTCAGCCGTCCAAAATGGGTATTATAAGACGTCTCTGTCGACATGTAAAAACCCTTACGGTGGTCAGATGAAATTGGCGCAAAGAGCATCAGCTAGCTAGCACCTAGCAAGCTAACTCCGCTCTTCCTACTACTACTACTTCTGCTAATTTCTACTTGGCATCAAAATTCGTATGTGTCTAATACAGCCTGCTGAAGAACAGTAATCATAAAAAAAACTAAGAACAGCGAGTATCATTGTATACCAGCCAATACAGTTGTTTAAATCAAGGACGTAAATGACGTAAAACCGTTATCATTATCAACTAACGTACTAGGGTACCGGTTTGCCCACATCTGTCCAAATCACCGCGTCCATGTAGCTACATACGAGCTTCAGAGCTTTAAATATATTTTTTGTGCGACCTACTGTCAGTCGATTAGGCTCATATCACTGTAATTAGCTACTTACAGACAGCTACTAGCTGAGCGGAAAAGAACAGCACAACCGGGGCGTCATAGACAGCAGGCAAACCACTGGAGGAAAAAAACGTGATTATTCACCTTTTTCAGATGCTGATTAAAATAGTCCACTCTGTGTTCGAGCTTTAGCGTCTTGTCGCCGTCAAGTTTCTTCAGACCAACATAGCAGCTTACTTCCTTCTTCAAAACTAGCGGGCAGTTCTCCTCGGCACGTACCTCTTCACCTCTGAGACGCCTGCATTTGCGGACGCGCTGTACTGTCCCTCTGAGACTTTTTGGAACACCCGCTCAAGCTTGTTTTCTCGCGCTCTGCAGCAGCTGGAAATCCCTGGCCAATCAAAGATCCGTTGCTTGAGTACGTCATAAAGGTCCAGCCACTCAGCGACGCAGTTTCTGGATTCTTGCCTCAGGAAGACCACGCCTCCCGATTTTGTTGGCGGGGCAACCGGCGCGCACAGCCTAAAGCAGTTGTAAAACTAAAGAGAGCTCACTCCGTGGCAGTTTTATGAGGTGTATTTTAATATATATATATAAACTGTATGTTTTACTGTTTAATTTCAAAGTGTTTTTATCTTGATAACATATCAGGCCGGCATGTTTTCAACCATAAACTATAATAAATTCACAATAGAATAATCACCGGAATATATTAGTGGGCAAAACTGTCATTCAAAAACGGCCTTTTATGTGTGACTTGTGCATAAACAATCACAAAACATCGGGCAACACGTTTAAAAAAACATTTAGTGTAGCTTATTTGTATTTTTAATCTAATATCCGCTAATCTATATATTTTTTAAAAGTATTAGCCTGGGACAATAGTGTAACAGGAACGACATCTTAAAAATAGACAATCCTTGATTTTCAGCTGATAGTTCCCCTCGCTTCCTCTCCCACGGCGGCTAGCGTCGCGCTAGGTCTAAGAACCATAGATAACAACTTTAAATTAATCACCTGGGCTTTTGTCCTTACATATGGCTGTGTAATTAGCCTGCTGCCTACAGACAGATGGATGAGAGGGAAGCGGGGGTTAACATGAACGGCGCCACCAGTACCTGGTCCATAGCGCGAAAAGTTACAGTGGGAGGGAGATTAGTTTCTGGAAAGGGGGGTGGGGAGGTTGGCCCTTGCCCCAACAAGCCCTCAATACACAAATCTGCCGCCAAACGCTCCACAAATCAGTACAAGCCAAAAGATAAGTATAACCATATATTAAAAACACCCACAATTAGTTATGGCTAAAGTAAACAGGCGTTTTAATGGTGATTTCCGTCCATGACAAGCAGATTCAAGTGTTTGTAAGCAGTATCAAAAGGGGGCATTCAGCATAAGTAATTTTTTTCTGGATTGCATGTATTTCAGCTCACAAAGCCCCTTAAATCTTTACACTCACCATCCCCATGGTGAAATACAAGCTATCCAACTGAATCACATCACAACTCCCACTTACATAATTTGTACTCCGATGTTACCAACTAACTCAAATTGTATTAAACAACACTAACGTCATTTGATCAAAAAGAAAAACTAAATGAAAATCCTATAGTGTTGAAAAAATATAATACATAGACCTTTATGTAAACCTATATTTCTTTTAATATAGGAAAATTGATAATAACACAGTAATAATATACAGTACACTGTGTGGCACTGTTCTATTGCGATGGACCGTCCAGGGTGACCCAGATTCTCATCCATTGACCACTGGGATAGGCTCCAGTCCCTTCGCGACCCCATTAGGAAATAAGCGGTAGCGATAATGGATGGATGGAAGTTGCTGTTTGATGAGGATAAATAAAGATTTTGTGCTTAAATGTGGTCATTCATTGTCCATGTCACTTTCCCAGCTGGCACTGGGTGAGGGGCAGGGCACACCCTGGACAGGTCGTCAGCCCATCGCAGGGCCACACAATACAGTGTTCAAGTAGCCTAACAGGCATGTTTTTGGACGGTAGAAGGAAGCTGTGGTACCCAAAGGGAGCCCACGCAGACATTGGGAACATTTGCAACCTCCAAACAGAAAGCCACCACTCCCCTGCAAAAGTGGTAAGTGAGAGCCAATTTAAAAAGGACGCATAAAAAATTCAAGCAAAATTTCTCACAATCATATTTGCTTGCCGACCTTTTGGTCTTAACACTGATTAAGGTAAGCTTCAGCTGGGGGCAACACGTTCTATAAAGATGTTTTGGGGGCATTAGAGGCTTTGACACAAGATGGCTATTTGGGAAAAATCATATCGCCGTCTAATCCGTTGAACATACTGCTTGCAAAGCATGTGAACCACTAGCACATAGTTTGCATGAACTTGTTCCTCTCTAAATAGCTTCAGGTGAAGCATTTCGACCTCCATCAACTTGACTATTCCTGAAGTGGCAACAACGACAAATTTGGAATCTGTTGCTACAACATCCATCCTGCAATGGATGTAATCTAAGTGGCTTTTCCTGCGTAAAAGAATACGGCTACATAATTTCACCACTCCCATATGTCTTGTATTCTGTAAAAGCATAAAAGAGAAAAAGCACAAAAGAGGGGTGTTTTCATCTTGCTTTCTTGCAAATAACTTTTCCTCACCTTTAAATGGTTTTGAATTGTAGGTTACTCTAGATACCATTAAATTAGGTTGTCACAAGAAATACACATTTAAAAGATACTAAAAAAGAGTAATTGTCTATAATCCATATCGGGTATTTAGTGTTAAATTCAAACCAATACAGGTAGGGGTTCCTGAAAACACAAGGGTAAATCTGCATTTTTCCTTATTTATTGATATAAATATTTACTCAAGCTTATCATTTTTGAACAAAATAAATCCCTGCTCGATTACATTTATACTCCAGTTTTGATTACCGGTCACTAGGTGTCACCATTAACACGGTAAGACAGTCCAGCTCAACAGCAATCCCTTGATGCCCTTGAGTGTTTTTCCCAATATTTACCCAAGTCGAGGTTAAAGTTCTCCTGTGAACCAAATTCAGCTCATTTATAGAGGTCTAAAGTCCCAAAATGCTCTACTTTCCTAAAGTGAATATAACTCTAAAATGAATAAAATAATTAGTAAGTTACATTGATTCAGTAATAGGGTAAAACTCTACAGTGAATTGTAACACCTTCCTTTTTATATAATTTTACATGCAATTGTTTCCGAAAAGTCTACCATTTTAAAAATTCACACCCACATATTAGTAGTCCTGAACCACAGAAGATTAATTTTTGGCTGGGTTTCTGTCCATGAAGTATGAGAGGGTTCCACTGTGTGCATGCTGTGTGTGATCATCAGTCAACATGAACTATGCTACAAGAAAAACACCTTTCATTAATAATTTATTATTTCCTTCAGAGATTTAAAAAAAAAAAATTCTCGCACAGGTCTCCATTCTCTTTTGTTTGTTTGTGTCTCTTGAATTTTAAGATCAGTCCATAAATTTTGAAACGCCGGCTTATGAGAACAACTTTTGTTTGTTTTGTTCTGTTACATCTTAAGTGTAAGATCCTCAAAATGAATTCCAGAATTGCCTATTCATTTTAGCTAAGATAACCTTTTTGGAACATCGCAATAAATTATTTTTGTTCATCTTCTTTATTAAATATTCAGAGAATAAAAAAATCTTGCATGGGCTTTATCTAGGCACTAAAATGATAATATGTATGCTGTGAAATAGTTGATTCTAAATGGAGTGCATGTAAATGTCTGTAGAGCTGTTCATCTCTTTGTAGCTCTCTTAAAAAGACAGGCAACCCATCTTTACTTTACTTAGTCCCTCTCTCCATGTTGAGTTTAAGCTCCCATACTAAAAATGAACAGGTGTAAAATATGCATGGATAAATGCACTTCAAATTAATAGTTGGACAGTTTTGTTTTAGCTTTTTTTCTTAGTTTGTACTGCTCCATTTATTTAACAGATATTTTATTTCCATAGATTTAAATGAAAGGGTTCATTGTCTAACTGCTGTATCCAGATAGGCACTGATGTCATTATATTTTATAGAGATTATCTGGAAAGCACACTAGTGCACGCCCTTTCTCTTGCCTCGCCTTTTAATGAGGATATTATTAAAGAAAAATAAGGAAAGTGCTTTACATAGAAAACCCCCTGTGTTCTCTACTTTCGGTATGCACACACGTAAGTATTTCCTTGCTGTGGGTGGCTCTTTTTCCATTTGTTTCTCTTTTCTATGTTCCTGATCTGGCTTTGCAATAAATCAACTAGACAAAGATTTGATTTTCGAATAAATCCCAATTTAATTCCCCAAGTTCTTTTTATGCTGTTTTTGTAGTTCAAAGTGCTTTATGAAAAAAGAAGAAAAAAAAAAAAAGAAAAAAAGTTACCATGTGTCACACACACAAATACACACACTCACACAAAGTTGATCATATTGAGCCAGTAGAATAAAACTGACCCGAGGACGTGCAGAATACTGAATATGATGTTAAAAAAAACAAATAACTAAAATAGGATAGGGATAGGATCTATCATAAAAAATCTTTTGAAGTACATTAAGAAAATAATTGAGATGATCCAAATCTGAGCTTTTCATCAGTGCATTTTTCAGTTTATGGTTGTCATCCTCTTTGTCAAATTGGTTGTGAGTTCTGAGATAGATGGCCTCTGACATCTGAAAGGGGCTATCTTGGCCCAGAAAGATTAGTAAAACCTTTTATTATTTCAACACTTTGCTCATCATCTATTGCTTTACACATGATATTACAGGATGAGAAATCGTCTGATAGACATGCTCAGATAAACCGAGGACTTCTGATAATAATATTTCCGGCCTTTCTCATCTCTACAAGTATTCTATTCACCAGGAAACATTTGCAAAATAAACAGCTGTATTTTTACCAGCTGTGTACTTTCCACATGGCCAAACTTGTATGAAACATTTTACCTTAAACTAAAACCCTCCATCCAACTTCTCAGTATTGGCTGAGTATCTTATTTTAATTTCATACTCATTCCAGATGAATTTCTGAATACCATTGTTCAATGGCATAAGCTATTACATAATATTCTTATATAGAACTTATATGCTTACATTTTCTGTTCACACTGATACTGTTCATGCTTTCTTCTTTGCGGTTCTGGGAAAACGATGCAGTCTATGCTTTTTGAAAGCAGGCTCTGTGACATTTCTAACATGGATGGTAAGGGCACCACCCTTTCCAGACAGTTGGAATGCAAGAACCTTTTATTTTCATTTTGGAGCTCTTACCGCAAGTGAAGCATAAATTGGTACAAATATAGCCCTGGCTTGCGGAAGCCGAACGTGAAACTCCTCACTGCATTTTTTCCCCCTACCTCCAGAAGTAATTCATGTTTCCATTT